AGGGGGTGCCCCCCCCCCCCCCCCGGGAGAAGCACACCACATTTACGCTTGATCTGACACAACCAGACATCATTTACAAATACCTTGCTGTTTAGCTTCCCTGAAGCTAAACGTGTTTTTTCACTCCATTTTGATATTGTTGCATCTCTGTAACTTTTGAAGGCAGCATATCGCTTTGAAATATATTCTGCATACTCTGATGTAGCCTATGAAGATAGAAGAAAATTTTAATTTCTTTCACTGGGGCTGCCAAAATATTTTACATTTGATTATATGTAAATCTTGTGGTTATTACATGAAGAAATAAATTTTTCAGTGCTGGTTGACAGGACCACTGTTAACAGTATCCTTACAGCATTATATTATGTGAGGAGGCCAAAAGAACGTTTGCAAGGTACATGTAGGCTACCAAATTATTATAGTGTTAGGAGTTGTATAATAGACCAACTCCACCGTCTGAAATCGACAGCGGCACTTATAAGCCAAAATTAAACCATAAACACTAGTAAGGTACAAAAACCTTTCACTGCTTCTTCAGGACAATTCCACAATACAGACGTCTCTCTATCACAGATGGACAATTCTGTAATTTGCACACCCAGCATGGTCCCTTTGCTAGCTGTATTAAAGCAGTCTTACTGTACGTTGTAAGTGCCACATAAAACCTCATCCGGCCTGCATGTGATGTCTATTTCCTTTGCTTCACGCGGAAAAGGGACATGTAAAAAAGGAAACCGGAGATGTCTGCACACAGGCTAAAACTCACCATCTCATGTTTTCTCTTGGCAGGTAACTTCAGACTATTCTCTGCCCCCTCATCCATGTTCTCATCCTTGCTATTTTCACCAACATCATCATCATCACTTTTTTCGTCTTCAGTATCACTGGGAATTTCCTCATCATCATCATCATTGCTACCATGAGCAGAACTTTGCTTCACATCAGTTCCTGGTATTAAAACACTTGCAGTGTCTGGATTCTGTTCTAGCAGTTTCTCTTGAACTAAGAGTAAGTTTCCTAGCAGTTTTGCCAAGGCTCTCTTTCCTGCAAATTGTCACACACAAAAAAATCATAAGACTCTGAAAAGGGAGAAAGTACCATTTCACACTACACTAAAAATTAGAACATGATGTACAAATTTTTTTATAATTCTCACCATGAGTTTCTTAAAAAAAAAAATGTCTCCTTGACACACAAAAGAAAATAACTCAACACTTCAACTAAGGCTGGTCCAGTTTGGTGAATCATTCTCACATGAATTGAAAATCACCGATCAACAACTGAGTCTCGACTCTTTAGTGACTTAGAAAAATGGTTTCCTTGAGACACCAAACAAAATTACTCAAAACTTGAGCTGAGTCTGTTCCAGTTCGGTCATACTCACATGCAATGCAATGCAATTATATTATATTATAATTATTACATTACATTAGACCCTTCCAACTTGCCCTTCACCCTAAAGACGTCTGTAAATTCTTGAAACTTGGCCGAGCCATATCTTCACTTGATTAAGACGTATCACTTTCAAATTTGGCAAGTTTAATAATTTAAAGGGGTTGACAGATTTTCCCAAACTGGTCCATGACAAAAGTTTAAAAAAAATGTGAAGGAGTTTATCAAGCATCAAGTGTCAACTTTCTGTACCTTGTTTGTATTCGTCTTTCAAGTTCTTATCTCCAGAGGACTTGAATTCTTCTATCTGTTTCTGTTGAGGTAGCTTGTTGGCAACTAGGAGGGCCTTCTGCAATCTAATGCGCAATTCAAGAAAGCTGTCCCACAAACCTGCAAAAGAAAATGCTGATACATGAAATAACCTTATATACAGTCATGTACATGTAGTACTACAACCAGCCACCTCTATTTTCATGTACATGAACAGGCTGTGATTTATAACCTTTGTTATAAAAACCTGGGTCATTAAATAATGCAATTCCAAGGTTCAGACTAAAGCTGTACATGTATGTAGCCGTAAATTGACTTGAATTAGGTTATTTGAATTATATGGAGTACAATTGACTTGCATGTATATGACTCATTTCAAACATTGTTTTGTACATCTATCCACTGTAAAAAATGTTTTAGGCTTACTTGGAGAAAATATAACACTGAATAAACAAACTCAAAGTCCTTTTACATTCTTCTTACACACATGTAACATACATTATATCTACTGTACAGTACAATACAATACAATATTCTTTATTTAACGAAGGTGACGTAATAACCCAATGAGTTATCTAACTTACGGCCTTCACAACAATACAAAATACACATATAAAAACAATGCCTAATCAGAAATATACGACTACAACAAGCGAAAAAATAGAACTAGACAAATGTACTACCCCTCCTTTAATAGTTATTTTTGTAAAACTGTCAAGGACTGGAATGCGCTACCAAGAGAAACCGTTAACATTAAGTGCTCTGATCGATTCAAAAAAGTCATATTTGAGCAATTCAGTCAAGGGAAAAAGCCCTGGGAATGACGTTGTGATGAACATAAATATTGTAAAATAATTAACGCCATGAATATTTTCATTGATTTTATCTTTTGTAGGAGATTTTCTTATTACTATCATCATTATTAACTTAAATTTTATTTATTTAACTAGATGTCTTGCATGATGGCACCCCTATTGAAAGACTAGAATTTTTGTAAAATAAAGTTTGAAGTGAAACATCACTTACTTAGCTGGTTTCTGGCAGCTTTTCCTTTTTCAATATCCTCTGACAAGCTTGTTGCAGAAAACTTTTGAATAGCATCACTACCTTCATCATCTTCTAGTTCTTCTTCCCCCTCCTCCCCCTCCCCCTCCTCCTCCTCCTCCTCATCATCATCATCATAATCATCGCCATCATAGTTGTCATCATGATCATTATCATCATCATCATTGCTCTCCAACTCATCACCCAAAAAGTTTCCATTCTTTTCATTATCAGAGTGTCCACTATCCTCCTGCTCAAAATCAGTTGTGGGATGTTTATTTCTTTCTTTTGAATCCACCGCTTGAATATCATCACTATCATCCTCACTTCCTTCATTTTCAACTGCATCATCATCATCATCATCATCTTCTGACTCTCCCATTCCATTCGGAAAGTCACCTTCGTCTACAAAACATTGGAATTGGAAAAATTATAATACCATGTTAGTTCTAACACAGAAAAATGAATACTGACATTCTTACATTTTCAACAAGAAAGATTATTGTGTAATTCCCTTCCAGCATGTTATCATCAGCCTTAAGACGTAAAACTAATAGTGATCATCACTTTATCAAAAGCATGGAACTCATGCATAGGACTCTTCCGACCATGTTGCAAGGTCGTTTTGCTTCAACAGTGAGTCGTTTCGCTAACGTCCCATTCACTAATGTCTTATGGTGATCTGCTAAGAAGCGAAATGAGTGCTGCGCATGTATAATATGCTTCATTCTCTCAGCCATGATACAAAAAAGTGCAATACACATGTATGTACCTCGTTCTTTCAGCCACTGATCAGGAAAAAGCTGTTAGGGAACTGACCCAACAAGTACGCAAAACGACTCACTGACACTCCCACAGTTTTTTAGCTTTTGACATGGCCCAGAAAAAATATCGAGTTTTGGGTACATATCATGTGTCAGCTTTTGGCATTCGCAATTCGGGAAATAAGCTTCCAATCTGTACCACGTGTGTTTTAATCTTATCAGGTTTTATGCTTCTGACAGCTGTATTAGATGGACTATAAAATCAAGAATAAATTAGATCGATATAAGGCCAGTTATTCAGTACCTTGAAATTCATTCTCTCCTGCACTTTCCTTATCGGTATCTGATCGATCCGCCTGGTCTCTTGACACTTCGAGTTGAGCACGTGTAATCTTTCGGCCGGCGTATTTCTTGTCCTCGTCTTGCAAAAGCGTCACCGCTTTCTTGCGCAAATTATTACCTCTAGAGAACTTTTGCTCTTCTAAATTACCAACATCCGTATCTCTATTAGTTATCTGTGCTCTAGTGAGATCAAATTCATCATCATCCAGATCAAAACGGCTTGGTTCGGGATTTGCGAGAGCACGAAGTTGCTCAGCAAAAGTCGCCATATTGGATTTGTTCGACAGCTTGGTATCCTGGCCTATTTCGAACTAAAAAGAAACTGGAAGTGGCGGAGTGGGGTGCGTGCCAAGATTATATTGCTTGGAAATGGTTCTTTTTTCATTCTTTGACGTTCTACCTTTCTTATTTTCTTCATTTTTTGCGTTTAGATGATATGATAAAATAACAGTAGCATTCTTTTGTCGAGTCGACTACACTGAGCTCGTTTCAATTGGACGAAGGCCCTCCCGGAAAGCAAATTTTTTCCCCACCCTCCTACTGTAGAAGGCGATTACTGCATTAAACAACACCAAGGAAGCTAGTGGACTTTTACCGCGAGCTTAGGTCGCCAAGTGGCTAGCAAAGCTCGCGAAAGAACGTGTTGAATGGTAGAAAATCGCAGGTTGATTGTGCAGAAACGAATGGTAATTCACCACATCTTTCAAGGCGATCGCTGAATGAGATAGAGAACTCCGAGAAAAGTGGAATTCCTTTGAATACTCCATGGACGTTGTGGCATGACAAGTAATCCACCGTAGCAAATTATTTTATTCTTTTCTTCCTTGGTCGTTTTCGAGTCGTCTCCTTTTATCTTGTTATTTTCAGATATGTGCGTGGAGCTACGGCCGCAGAATATGCTGCTAATCTTCGTAAATTGTACACAGTAACGACGGTTCAGGTATTTCTTAGTTAAGGTTATTTTCGATGTTGAAAGGTTTCATCTTATAGTTTGCTAGTAATTTGAGCTGTCAAACGTTGACAGCCGAAGGTTCCTGTAGCGTAATAATTACTAAAAGTCTTGAAATGAGGGCAGTATTTTGCACTTTTTGCTAAATAAACCTATTATAAACAAGAGAAAGCAAATCGTCGTATGCATTTTTATGATATGAAGTAGTCAAAAAATAAAGCCATATATCGATAATATTTTCAAGACTCAAGTGTAGTGTTTTGACTGCAAAAATGAATAAATTAAGGGTGGCAGACTTGTCATTTTGTTTGTGGCGATTGCACATCTATATTCCTAGAAGGATGAAAACATGAAGTTTTATCAGTACTCGCACTTGAAAAATGGAACAAAAAAGAATTATTTTATTTCTTAAATCTTAAACATATGGCACATTAAAGATATTGATTTTTTATGGGGTTCTGTCTATATGTCTGCGTGTACGTACACCTGAAAAGGTATAGATTTCCTTTGTTGAAGATTGTCGATGTTTCAATGTTCAGCTGCACAGGAAACTCGAACATCACCAATTGTTGTGTTATTGTTAAACTATGTATATTAAATAGAAAACTCCAAGCTCAACTAAGAATTTTTATTTTTTGGGAAATAAAACCACCTGTTTATGCACATGTGTGCAGCATTACTTTCTGTTATTGAAGGATTTGGGGCTGTCATGAGCATCAGTTTATGGAAAGGATGTGTTCTTTTTTTTCTTTTTCTTTTCCTTCTCCTGCAGATATAGGCATATTTTTATCCCCTAAAAATTTTTCATCTGTTCGGATTTCCTAGCTGAAAGTCTAGCGATCCGAAAATTGTAGGGATCAAAACTTACCTTTTCGAAAATTTCAGCCAGAAAAAAGGCTCCCGAAAATTCTAGGTGACCTTCTTAGTGTAAAATTTCGTCAAAAATGGGCATTTTTGGGGGGTTCAAAAATCCTAGGAGAGGCAGGCAAGCTAGAAATTCAACAACAAATGTTCCGAAAATTCTAGATCTCAGATCGTCTTCCGAACAGATATTTTCCAAAAATTGTCGTTTGATGCCCCTGATTGGTCCTGAAATAGGACTCACAAATATCAGACAGTTGTGTATGGCAACCAAAAGATCAGTAGTTTTCATAGCCCCAGATGGAACTACGCTACTTTGAATATAATTGACAACAAAAATGTTCTAGAAGACATAACACAGAAAATAACTCAACATCTGCATTAATTTTATCTCCTTGTGTGTGTTCGGTAAATACACATAGGAGCTTAATGGGCTCCTGTTTAACTTTCATGTACTTGTGCTTTATGTGACAACTTAGATTGTATCTTCTTGTTCCATACGTGCCTTTGTTCTTGTTTTTCTTTTCTTTTCTTTTTTTCTGTTTTTTTTTGTCCTCTAGAGTTGATGTGTATAGTACAGTGTAACAGTACATGTATGTTTTTCCTCTGCCCACCTTAACTTGCCGAGTTGCTTGGAAACAGAGGATATTTAGAATATTTAATTTAACAAAAACTGTGTGCATAATTCTATCTTCTTTCTTTGTACATTACTGAAAGTTGGTAAATTACATGTACCCTCTTATATATATTATTATTATTTTAATATAGAGTTTCTGGAGTGTGTTTAATAACATCCCTCGCACCTCATGTCTGGATATGAGAACAAGTTATCACTTTATGCGTGGAGAGAGAAAACCACTTTGGTAAGTTAATGAAACCACTTTGTTGCATAGTCTGCACACATGTACTTGTTGATCTCCCTTACTTTCAACACAAGTTTAAAAGTCCCTCCCTTTTAGATTAGGGTGCAAAACCATGGACCTCATCTCTCAGCTCTTTCATTTTTCTAATTCTTGTGGGATGTACCTTATTATAGGAAATCAACGCTCCAAGAAATTAACACAAATCGTTAAAATTTGCGTTAATTTAAGTCGCATTCATTTTGTTGAGCATTAATTTCCGCAACGTTAATTAAGTGCAGCGTTAATTTCCCCGCTCTTAATTTCCAGTATTTTAACTCCAATTTTGGAACCTGTCCAGATTCTTGACACCTAAAAAACATTAACTACAAGCTTTCTTTCTTTCCATTTACCCTTTGTTTTTCATCTTTCACTAAAGCTACGGTGAAGGTTTACAATATCTCGAGTTCATCTTCATCCTTGTTGCAGTCAGAAGTGATGTCAGTATCTTCTCCTTTGACCAACTGTGTCTTAATCGCGTTAATTTCCTTTATTATGAAATTCTACCTTCTCTTTGGTGTTAATTTTCTTTATTCGAAAGTTGTTTTCCATTAAATTCGCGTTAATTTAAGTCGCGTTAATTTCCAATACCTTAATTTCATGGAGCGTCAATTTCCTATAATAAGGTAATAGAACCCACACTGCTGTTCTTGAAGAGAAGGAGACGTAGACCCCAGTAGCTTGGTCAACCTTTAAATGTGTGATTCTAAGGGCGTGCATTGCTTTCAGTAAAAACCACAGGGTTTGCAAATTTTATTGATGAGTGGAGTCAGTATGACTTCTGCTTCACAAACTTTGGAGTTATTTTGGAGTATTTGGAGTCAAGTATCACAACGAAAAAAGCCATTGTCAGACTTTCCAGCACGTGGTCCGGGCGTGTATACACTATCGTGAGGGATACACGAAGTAGCTGTGGCGGTCCGCTAACCTGGAAAGCTCAAATCTATGAAGGCAGTCATCGAGTAAACTTTGATCATAATTTACCCTCTTCCTGTTTTACCGTGCAGTATAATTCTTTAATTTCAATGATTTAATTAATGTTTACAACATTTACAATAATTAACGTAAATTGTATTTGTTGCGAAAAAGGTAAGGACAAAACTATGTTTGTTACCGAAAATTTCTGGAGTCGAAGTGACTCCCTCGATAACCTCAGTGGAGTCATCTGAACAATTTTGGCATAAAATACAACAAATTTGGCATATTTGCGAACCCTGAAAACAGGTCTACATCTAAATGATAATGATGATGATGATGATGATGATGATAATGATGATGTTGTTGATAATGATATTGATGACCCTATTTTAATTATTGTTTGAACATCAACAGGGAGGACAAGGAAAATGTTAATGGTGGTTATTGGAAAATGAGGTGTGCCAAGCACAATACAGTAAGTTTAAGAGTTAGTGTTTGCAAGAATTTAATTCACAACGGGTGCACTAGACCTATATTCACAGCAGAAAACATCCTTACAGCTGTACAATGTACATGTATAACAAAAATCCCCACAATCTTTTTCTTTTATTTAACTCTGTACCACTTTGTCCTACAGTGTAAGTCTACTTTAATTAGGCAAGGTAATTTTTATTTGTTTACTTTTATTATCATTAATTTTTTATTGAACATTATTAGTAATTAAAAATGTACTGAGTATTATTATTATTTTTGTTCTTCTTCTTATTTATTTATTTGCAAACTGTATCTTATTTATTCATTTCATAATGGTATCATTTTTGTGTACATGTATGTCTCCGTAATAGTAACAATTTTATAGATACCCTGTACCTCTCCCAGTATTTGATGTTGTTTAACTCTTTTCTTGTCAATAGGATAAAGTGTGGAAAGAGTTACTTTTGGCAGCCATCGGTGAACAATTTGTTGACAGTGTCAGACAAGGTAGAAAACATTTTAATAACAAAAACCACCCTTACCACAATAAAAGTAGCTTTATTAAGGTACGGAAAATTATTTTATTGAAGATAGTTCTTGACAATAAGGGAAGGTTGTTAATAGAGTTTACCCAGTTTTTAGCAAAAAAGGTCTTTTTCTGTGTTGATCCAATTTCAATTTTCCTACAATGGTCGTTAATCATTTAGTTGTGATGAATAGTTTCTGTAAAGCATAAAGCATCTTTTCTATAGACTTGAAAAATATTTGTCTTCTTAATGTAGCCCACTTAAAAACAGATTGGAAGGATTGAGTCAAAGGATTGAGTCAAACGATTTCTTTACAAGTAAAGTACACAATGTAGTGAGAATTCATTAAAATAATGTAACAACCCATGAGATGAGGATTGTCAAGATTTTTCTTGATGTGCATATTATATTTCTACCACAAATGGATGTGAATATTGTTTCAAATAAAAAAAATAGTTTTTGCTACGTTTTAGATGATGAAGTGTGCGGTATCAGTGTTTCTGTGCGCGAAAGAGATGACATAATTCAAGTGTGGAATTCAAATGCTTATGCTGTTGAAGATGCGACGGTAAAATTTTGATTTTGCCTGTCATTTGATTACAGCTCAGTGTAAAATTAATGATAACTTGTACATGTACATGTAGTCATCTATTAATACTGATTTGTTTAATTTAAGTAATTTGTATTTGTAAAAAGTTTTTTTATTGCCGTGATCAGTTGTTATGCATCAAAATTGAATCATATTTGCAAAGAAAAATATCAATGCCGGCACTTAATCTGAATTGTTTTGTGTGTATCAGATATTGGACAAATTGAGGGACCTTGTACCGGATGTTGACTTGTTTGATGATTTCTATAAATGTAAGGACAATTTAATTGTTATAATCTTTGTGATTTGTGGCCATTACTGTACTTGTAATTTCAGTTGCCATGCTTGTTGACAGATGGAGATTTTATGCAACCTTTGACTGTCTTGTAATAATAAAATTATCTTAATTAATTTCTGTTTGCTATCATTCTTTCCAGCACACCAAGCTCATGAAGCTTTTGAAGGGGCGAGACCCAGGCCCACAAAGCCGCCTGGTTTTCCATTTGGGAGGGACTGAAATGTCCAGTCTCAAAGTTTCCTGTATAGTGTTGTGATGCAGAGTGGTTAGCCTGTGCATTACCCAAGTTACATCTTTTAAAAATCACTGTTTTATGTTTGGCATGCTTTAGTGCTGGGTAGCCTTTGACTATGGGATGCATTATCATGTTTAGTGTATATTTGTAGTGTATTTGTTTTTTAGTGTATAGTCTGTGTACAAATGGTCTGAAGGAGACCCACGGACCACGCCCGCAAAACAGTGGTTGATTTGAAATTTTTCAGCAAGCACCTCCTTTCTTGAACTCTGTAGGGAGGGACACGGAAGTACCCTCCACCACCCTGTGGGACAAAGCACAAAGTGAAGCACATCCCTGCTTGATAACACTCGTATGTACATAAATAGCAGTAACAGGAACCTCTGATCAGCATAACCTCAACTGAAAATCATCTTGAATTTATGATCGAGACAAAAGTTCTGAGTAGTTGTAGTTGTACTTGTTGTAGCTCATAGCGTTTTAATGGGCCTTTGTTTTCTCTCTCTAAATCATGAAAACGATCTGTGAAATTCTTTGTCAGGCAATTTGTTCCACAGAAAGAAAGTCATACAACTGTATTATTGTTAAGCTGAACATATTGGCCTCATTTTCTTGGTTTGTAATGCAAGTTGATTATGGATCCTTGTGTTTTGCTTCACCCTAGAGCCATTAATTAAGTGAAGAGGATAAAGAAGAGGGTAGGCGACAACTTGGTCCGTAATTTATTTCAGTACAAACCTCACACTTAGCTAAGTAAGATTTATTTATACACGTTACAAGTGTCTTAGTTATAAATGGGCTCACTATTTCTAATTTTCCCTAGTATGTACTTAGAATATTGTTTTTACATATAACGATAATTAATTATGTTATATATTGTATAACATTATGTATAAAGCTTTTTTATTAATGTACGGTCGGATAAGGTTGCATTTGTCTGTTGGAGATGCATGTAAATGTAGGGAAACTGTATATACATGTACATGTGTGATACCATTAGTACAGTTATGAACAGAAATTTTATTTTTACATTTTATATCGTAGTGAATAAATTAATGCGAGAGTGGTAGATACTAGCACAGAATTGGCCTTCGAGCAAGTTCTCTTTTGGGGGGGGGGGGGGGGGGGGGGGGGGGGGGGTGGTGAAGCAGACGAACTGTAGATCTTTCAGTTTTCAACAATAGCTTCAACAGTAAGGGACTAATATTACACGACTCAGAAATTTTCGGTGAACAAATCCAAAGATCCCAAGGGACCAAAAGGGAAAGGACACCACGTTTTATTATTAATTCTAAATATTTCACTGTTTCTGATTGGCTCTAATCCCACGGCTTATTTTTGATAACCAGCTGGTACTAATCGTATTTGGAAGGTGCAAGCAACATACCATTTATTCGATGGTAACTATAACCCATGAATCAACCTCGTTTCCAGGTGCAGCAGCCTACTAAATGACCGACCATTTGACTTGTGAAGGGGGGCGGGGGGGGGTATAGGTGATTTCAGAAAATCTGAGCAGACTGATTTTGAGGGAAAAAAATTCTAGCAAAAATACCTGGGAGACAAAATTTCTGCACTGAAAAAACATCTTTCAAGGCGTATAATTCTGAGACGAAAATCTTACACCCTTGTATGTCAGGAAAAAAATTCTATCACCGTAGTCTCGGTGAAAAACCCATAACCAAATCACCCGTACCCTCTCAAAAGTAAAAGTGGTTGGCTCGTAACTGTTTATTCCAGAGTGAATTAAAAAAAAATGGCGTCCACAGCTACCCGAAGACGAAATAGCTGAATTTCTAACTAACTGAACAGAGGACATGCAAGAATACGCAAAACATGTTGCTCTATTGACGTGATCTACTTTTTGAGGAGTATCTGCAAGAAAAAAGAACATCTGTTTGTATCTTGAAACCGTGCCAAGAAAAGGCCAAGTCTACGAGGAAATAAGCTTGTTAAGAACTAGAAATATTTTGAATGAATAATAAAGCAATTATTATTGAATTCGGCTTTCGTATACATTGTAATGTAAAGAATTGTGTAGATCTCGGAGGGTGTTTTCCACTGAGGCCAAACGCTCTCCTCCATCTGCATACTTCTTTACATCATTTTGAGCCTCATTCAATCATTGTTATTTTGTGAGAAATATCAGACAGACAGAAAAGAGTTGATTGGGTTGAACTGATTTGGTAATTAGCCCTTTGAGGGTCCTTTGAATACCCCGGGATGAAGTAATGTATGAATTATTTATGTCTTAAAACGTTTTGAAGAATTAGAACAACTTTTAAAAGCATAGTCTCAACAAAACTGATCACAAGGGACTGCTTCTTATAGTAGCTTTCTTTTAATGAATGTTTGTACACTAAAAATAGTAGTCTCTCCTTTTTCCTAGGAATAGTGTAGTCCAGTTCTGTCCCCTCTCGGCGTTGCGCGACATAGGGAGATGGGCCAGAACTGATAAGGAATGGTGCAGTTGAGTGAGTGAAATTTCGGAACACGCGCGCGCGCCGCGCGGGATAATTGACCCTCAGCGAGGAGGGTTACACGCGGGCTCGTATGGGGAACTACTCGTAGTCTACAGTTAGATAGTTTACAATTTACGTGTCGGCCAGTGTGCTGGCTGTAAAATTAAAAAGGAAATTATGTCCAGGTAGTATTGATCTTCGCTTCTTCTTCTGAGTTTCACCCACAGGTTCCAAGTTACATTTCACTAGGTTCGGAAGCCCAGGACTCTCTTAATGAGAATAATTTTGTAAAACGAAAAGCAGTAGTCGTTTCGGGTTTCAGAGACGGAAGTTGTTTTGAAATTTGAATTTTGGAAGTTGTTGGAGCCAAATAGATAGTTTTTGGAGCTAGATAGATAGTTTTTAGCCAAATAAAAGTGTATAATGTAACTGTTTTACTTTTTTGGTTGTTATTCATTTTTATGACGCACGTACTAATGGGGTTTTAAACTGATAACCATAAAATGGCCTAGAATTTTAGTCGTTTTCCCTGCATTCATTATGTATACTGCAGGGGGGGGGGCAGAGTATATTTTTTAAAGGGGCAAATTTTT